CAAACTGTTTATTAGACTGTAAGCCATTATTTTAGCGTTAATATTTCTCTCCTTCAAACAGATTTACAGCATCTCACCTCCTGCTTAGTTTTCTGCTTCTCTCCGCCGCTCTGTGTTTTTTTTAGGTGTGGATTTCGGAAAGTGAAATCCGCGCTCTGATATAAAAGCTCCTCTGCTGCTCTGCTCCAACACAACCACACCAAGACACATCTGAGCTCATACAAAGAGGAATTATTAGATTTAGACTTAAATACAAAATCAAGATGCTGAACAGGATTTTCTTGGCTTGTGTCTTTCTTGCTCTGTAGCCTACTGCGCATGCTCCCCGCTGAGCTGCAGGTGGATGGATCAGAAATTCAGACAGCACAGCCAGAACTCATTAGATCTTCTGGATGGGATGGTAAGAGATCAGATTTTAATGCTCGTTGATGTTTGATCTGATTTGTAAAAATATGCTTAATTTCTGATGTGTCTGTGCTGCAGGTTAATAACAGCACTAACAGCACTAAGGATGAAAAGCAGAGCGCTGTGGCCTTCCCTCATCATCTGTACAGCCACGTGTCCAAAGCATCAGTAAGTCCTCCTCAGCTGCATTCTGCTCACAATCAATCATTTGATCAGAGATGGAACAGCAAGGATTTCTGCAGTCAGCATCTCACAGTCCTCCTCTTCTTCTTCTTACAGGCTGAGGGTAGCAAAAGAGTTTGTAACAGAATGATGAAATTTCACGAGATTTTGAAAGTAAGATAGATCGATACCGCGTTTTTAAAAATCAATTTGATATCAGCATATGAAAATATATTTGAGCATATTATTTTTCAAAGTGTCAGAAATGGAGAACAAAACTGCTATTTTCAATGACTACTTATTTTTGTCTAGCTTTCACATCAGTATCGATATCGGTTATCGGCTACATGAGTTTTAAAATATCGGCATATCGGATATCGGCCAAAATCCCAATATCGTGCATCCCTAGTTTATACATCATGTATTACTTCGTACAAAAGACATGCAAGCTATAGAGAAATAATAATTAAAGGATAAGCAAGAGGTTTAGGCCTATTTATTTATTTGATAAATAATGTTAAGTAATAAGTCTGCAAGCTGAATCTATAATTGTATGTAAGCGGATTAAGTCGTTTGCTATAGTCATTGTCTCCAACATGGTAGACCAATCCTTTCATGATAAAAATACATAAAGGAAAAATAAATGAGTCATAAATATGAATCATTGGCAAAAGAAAGTCTTGAAATTAAAATTCAAGCCATTGTACAACAAACTGATAAAAACTACATATATTTTTTTAAAAATGATCAGTTATTTTTGATATATTAATAAAAATATTTAATTTTACCTGCTCTATTTTATCTGTGGACTGCTATTCTAATGTTTTATTCGAACAATGAATATTTAATCACTGAAATGCTGTGTTTTCTATGTAGCCATTTATTTCAAGTAAATCAAGTGCTGTTTTATTTTCCTAAACATGTTCATGTTCTTTCTTATTTCCTTACCACTCAGATATATTTAAAACATGTTTTCCACCATTTATATTAGTTTGTAATTATTGCCTTTTAATACTTCTTAGATTTTCTAATCCAAGTGTTTTCCCTCAAAAAATCTCAAGTTAATTTTGGATCCCAAAAAGCGCAATATTTCGTTTTTTATCCACATTTTTTTTTCTTTCTCTTTTTGCCCGTTCTCTCTCTTAATTACATTTGTTTTTCAAAACCAATCACATAAGCACACCCATAATTTTTGAAAGACTTTTCTATTTCCCATGGTACCTAAATGCAACAGCTGGCAATCTGATGTTCAGCTGCTGTGTAGAGCAGACAGTCATGATTCCAGCCCTCCTATCATATGAGGCCACGCCCCCCTCACCAAATATAGGCCAGAAGTTAGAAGCTGAGAAAAAAAAAAATCTGCAATCTTGAAATGCTGGATCTTTTTGGATTCTCTGACTTCCTAATATATATTCTGTAAAACAGGTAGTCTTTCTAATGGCCACTGGGTCTAAGTGTGTGTGTGTGCATGACTGTATTTTCCATCTTTGAAAAAGAAGCTTAGTCAGTCACTTAATATTGTGGCATTAAATTTGTCTCTGATAATAACATAAAATTCAGTGTCATATTTGATAATGTGTGAGTTACATTCTAATTAAACTCAATTCCAATTTATATGGTTTCTAGAATTTCCTTCTTTCAAGTCTTTGATATTTCAAACATTTCTAAACATCTTGTCCAGGGTTGATGCTGAGAAACTGTTAGTGCATTTGTTATTTCAAGGCGGGACTATTGAGATTCTTTGATATCAGAAGGTTTACCAAATGTAGTTAAAAGCCTTCAGCTGATCCAAAACACTGCAGTCAATGTTCTTATAACAAAGCCAGAGGTTTGTTTGTTTTTTACTTTTAAATAGGGTCATTGGGGAAAAGAATAAAACATAAAAAAAAAAAAAAAAGGATAGCAACAGTGGAAGTGTTCATCATTACATATATCAAGAGAGGCAAAAAGCCATTTAAGCTTTGGAGACACCGATTTAGCAGATGAAGATTGTCATCTTATCTCAATATGGATGAAGCTAAAGATGTACCACGTTATTTTTCAATTACCGTTAAAGTAAAGTTCTAAATTTAGAAAATGATATTTATCTAAGAGACCAATCAGGTGCAGATCTTGTGTCATCACATATTATCATACAAAACTGATTAGGTACTATATCTTCAGAAGAGGGATCATAACAGGTGTTTGGACCAGTTCTACTGGCCCCTGTTGGGCCCTGTTTAAAATCACCCAATTTAAAACTTTGCTGTTAAGATTACTTCATTATTTTTGATCTGTGTTGTTGCTGTGCTGCACACCTGGACCCTCACTGGAGAATATACAGCAAATGCAACTTCCTGCTGCTGTAGCTCCAAAGTAGACAGAAATGCCAGTGGCTGAAATGCAAAATGTTAACCCTCCATTGGACACACTTTCTGAGGTGCTGGAGTATGAGGAAGGATGAAACCAGGCTAACTCCCAGCAAGACATGGTATTGAATCTGTATTTATCATGTTTTATTGAAATTCACAAAATGGCTAAAAACTGATATTGAATATGATTCACCATGAAATTAATAACTTCAAATTTGTACATTAAATTCTATCATTTATCTACTTTTCCTTTGTATTTTTATTTCCGCTGTTATTGCCTATAGGAGCTTTCTTCTGGGTCTCTTACACGTTTGTGTTTTAGAAATCCTCAATGATGGTGATTGAAACTGGAGGCAGCTAGTTTGATTTCAGTTGTCATTTAGAATAAAAATAAATATAATTTAAAGGGTTATAAAGTTAGCAATTGCTCCAGAGATACATAACTGGTTGGATGAATAAATGAAAAAGCATTGGCTGTTGCAGACCAAACTTAGTGCAACTATATATGGTTGCTATCATCATGTTGACTTATTCTGATTTCTATTTTTAACAATAAAAACACTATAATCTATTTTTGACGCAAAGAAGAAAGATTTAAAGTCTGCTACTTTTTAATAATATATGTATTAACATACTGAAGCAGCCATTTAAGCTAATATGAAATGGATAAACTGACAAGGAAATTATGCAGACAAAGCTGGAGAGCTTTTCCCTGTTGGACTACCAGCCAGGTTAATTACAGCAGCTGCAAATGCTAAAATGTGCCAGTGGCCAGGAATCTAGGAATACAGATGTTCAAGATGGGCCTGTTTTTTAGTGTAGTCCTGTTTCTCTGACTGTGACTAACTGGATGTGCTCTCTTCATCCTCTGATATGGGAGCTGGCTCGGTGCTCGTCTTCCTGGCTGTGTGTTTCCTGGACCGAGCCGCCTTTTACAGCTGCTATTTGGATCTCTGCTTCTGTCTCCTTGAACCCCAGTCGGCCTCAGCAGATGGCCGCTCAAGTTGATTCTGGTTCTGCTGGAGATTCCTTCCTGTTAAAAGGGAGTTTTTCCTCTCCACTGTCGCTACAAGCATGCTTAGTGTGAGGGATTGCCTTAGAGTCAATGAGTCCATGCATAGAAAAAAAAAACTTTGAATCAATTTGACTGTATGAGTCCAGTGAACTGTAAAGTGCCTTGAGATTAAATGTGTTGTGAATTGGCGCTATGGAAATAAACTGAATTAAATTAGATATTCCAAAAAATGTTTTCATATTAATTCCTTCTGGAATTGTTTTTATAACCAGAATGAAACAAACATATTTCCTTGTCTTAAAAAACTTCCTTTATTTTTTTTATAACAAATATAAGAATATAAATATTGACAGAATATCCATGAATGCAATAAGTTACAATGAATAAACAGTAAAAGTACACATAGAAATATAGTTTTACACACAGTAAAAGGCAATAATAGAAATATAATAAGGGGTGAGAAAATAAGAATAATACTAAATAAAGTGATTAAATAAAATAAATATAAAAACTATGATTAGTTAATACACAACAAAAGTTTAAAAAAAATTATAAATAGATAGATAATCTAGATAATTTCTGTAATATCCTTGCAGCGGTACCATGAAAAATGTGGAAAGATTTAAGGCCTATGAATCATTTTGCAAGCTGTTGCATATTCTAGAAATATTTTTTTTATGTTAATGACTTATAGAGTAACTTTTACAACAAGGATGAAAAGAACACCTCTCTTTGTCTAGAACACAATATTTTTTGCTTGCACTTCCACATCAAAGTTAAATAAACTACAGTAATAACTAAAAATAAATATGCAAAAAATGTAGCAAATATATTAAAAACCTTTCCACATTATTGAAATCCATAATAGAGAGAAAAATGATACTGAGGTAGCTAAACAAATAAAAATAAATATAAAAATATATTTTAAAAAAGTAAAGCTGAAAAAAGTACCAAAAAAAAACAATAACAATTAAAAGGTAAACTGAATAAATAAAATAAATACCATAAAAAGTTTGAATAGTTACAGCAATATAAATAGATAAATAATCTAGATAATTTCTGTAATATCTCTATGATTTTAGCTGCTGAGTACAGTAGAAACCAGGTGGTCTGCTTTCATTAGATGGACTTTGATTTCCCTCCTGATCAGCTCCCAGGCTTCAGCACTGTGACCCTAAAGACACAAACATTTGATCATCATTATTACAACATACAGCTTTAATAAAACTTGATGAGCACAGCAGCAGATCAACAATAGAAACTGACCATTTTCTTCAGGATGTCATGGGATAATCTCTGGAAATACATGTGAAGCTTGGTGTTGTGCTTCTTCTTCATGTGGGCGTGGCCTTTAATCTGAAAGAATCAGAGAGTCAAGTTTCAAAATAATCATTTCTACATTTTCTGTAAAATGTTTGCAACTGTTATAAATTAAATATAATCATAGGAGAATGAAAGGGAACTTACGCATGAGTGAAGTTCATCAGCCTGTTTGTTGACAACATTGAGAAAGTTCTCCACTGTGGTTTCATGCCATGATGAAGAGCTGTAGTCATCCTCAAACAGGGCAGAAATCTCCCTCAGGATGTGGACTGTGAAGGCGAGTTTACCCTCAGCCTGTAAGAAGAAGAAGAAGAGGAGGACTGTGAGATGCTGACTGCAGAAATCCTTGCTGTTCCATCTATGATCAAATGATTGATTGTTAGCAGAATGCAGCTGAGGAGGACTTACTGATGCTTTGGACACGTGGCTGTACAGATGATGAGGGAAGGCCACAGCGCTCTGCTTTTCATCCTTAGTGCTGTTAGTGCTGTTATTAACCTGCAGCACAGACACATCAGAAATTAAGCATATTTTTACAAATCAGATCAAACATAAACGAGCATTAAAATCTGATCTCTTACCATCCCATCCAGAAGATCTAATGAGTTCTGGCTGTGCTGTCTGAATTTCTGATCCATCCACCTGCAGCTCAGCGGGGAGCATGCGCAGTACAGAGCAAGAAAGACACAAGCCAAGAAAATCCTGTTCAGCATCTTGATTTTGTATTTAAGTCTAAATCTAATAATTCCTCTTTGTATGAGCTCAGATGTGTCTTGGTGTGGTTGTGTTGGAGCAGAGGAGCTTTTATCAGAGCGCGGATCAGAAATCGAAACTTGGAAAAAACACAGAGCGGCTTTCGGAGAGAAGGAGAAAACAAAGCAGGAGCTGAGAATGAAATGTGGATGATGGTCATTTTTTTAGGCTTTGTCGTCTTAATTAAGATATCGAACATTTTCTCAAACGATCATGTTTTTTTTTGTTTTTGTTTTTTAATTGTTGCGTGTTTTTGTCAGTTTTGTTTAGTGTCTAGAGTAAGCCTTCTAAATGTGGTGTTTTAAGTTAAAAAACACGGTTAAAGTATTGGGAGGAAATAAAACATAGTTCCACATTGCACGTTTTAAGGCACAAGATGGAAATGTGATTTTACATTTACAGAACTCTAAATATTTTTTATTTTTTATTTAAATACGGAAAGGACGTGGCCTTGACAGGTGGGTCATTATAAATAGACCATATAGAGAGACTTTAAATGACAACAATTCTACTTAAAACAATAAGCAGAACTAAACTCTGCTTAATAAATAAATCTGTTTTGTAATACAAAATGTGAAATTATGAATGAAGGACAACACGTTTGGGTGTTTTCCAGCTTGTATATTGCATCACTGCATCACTGTAAATGATTACTAACTGATAGCAGCATGTTTATAATAGCAGCCAATCAGGGAGAGAAACTGAAAGCGCATCTGACGACACAACCAATTAGGATTCCCCATGTTAGAGCTGCACCAAGACTGTTGTTTTAGTTATTTTGACATTCAAATTAGAATAAATAATCACAGGCCTAATTGAAATATAGAAATAAACAAAAAGTCGATCCGCTTACAAATAATTCAAGTTGGTAAAGAATAAGCTTGTAAGTTACAGACTTATAATTTAAACAATTACATATGCCACATCTAGAATAGAGCATGGCTGTAAATAGATAAACACATCTATGGTCTAATTCGTGTGAATTTTTTTTGACAAAGCTTCCTCAATATTTGAAAGACCGTGGTTTTCACAACTAGTGCAACCTAAATATTATTTCATCATGAATGAATTGGATTCAGAACAAACTGAAATAACTGGTTGTGGTTGTTTTAAACCAAGCAAGGTGCAGTTATTGAAGTGAAAATGAAAGCAGCTCTGACGTGTTTTGGTTAGTGTCTGCATTAAGCCTTCTAAATATGGTGTTTTAAGTTAAAAACGCGGTTAAAGTATTGGGAGGAAATAAAACATAGTTCCACATTGCACGTTGTAACGAACTATGGAAATGTGATTTTACAGAAGAACTCTATTTTTTTATTATTATTATTATTATTTATTTTGTGTGTGTTTGTGTGTGTTTAAATACGGACAGGACGGGGCCTTGGCAGGTGGGTCATTATAAATAGACCATATAGAGAGACATTAAATGACAATAATCCTATACTTAAAACAATAAGCAGAACTGGACTCGCTATTTAGCAACAGGTTACAAAATCTGCTGAATAAATAAATCTGTTTCGTAATACGAAATGTAAAATTATGAATGAAAGACAACACGTTTGGGTGTTTTCCAGCTTTTCGTATATTGCATCACTGCCTCACTGTAAATGATTAACAGATAGCTGCATGTTTATAATAGCAGCCAATGAGGGAGAGAAACTGAAAGCGCCTCTGACGACACAACCAATTAGGATTCCCCATGTTAGTGTTGCACCAAGACTGTTGTGTTAGTCATTTTGATATTTAAGTTAGAATAAATAATAATTTAAAAAAAATGGTATGAGAGTGAGATGGAAAACATTACCGATGTTTATTTCTGTATTTTTCATCTTTTTTTTTTTTTTACTTAAATATTAAAATAACTAGGCCTAACACAACAGTCTTGGTGCAGCTCTAACATGGGGAATCCTAATTGTGATCGATTTTAATTATGATGTAAACTGATTAAATCAAATGCCCAAAACAACAGTCTTGTTAGCAGGCAGCATTGAGCAAGACTGTTGTTTTGGGCATTTAATTTAATCATTTTACATCATAATTAAAATCGATCATAATTAAGGCCAGAGGAGGTTATGTTTTTGGGAGAATCCACATCATAATCTGGATAAAGGATTTTTATTTTTTTAACATTCTCTCACGTGGTGAGATAGGGATATTTGGCGGAATAAGCAAACCGTTGGTATTTTATTGAAGAAAAAAAATACAAGGACATAAAACGTTGTTGGTTTGTAAGCAGGATCAATTTAAAAATATATGAACGGATTTTATAAAAAAAAATGAAATAAAATATCAGAGGTGTGCCTCGTGCCGAGAAACAAAATCATATAAATTCGGTAATGATTTAGGCCATCTGTGAGTTTTAGGTATACACTGCAAAACGATCTAGAAATAAGTAAAATAAATAAATAAATAAATAAAACTATTTTAAATTTAGTCTATTTACACTTTGAAGAGGTAAATATGATTTGCCAATGGAATGAGATATTTTACTCTCAAAATAAAATAATTAGATAATATGCACTTGAAATAAGAAAAATACAAATGTTTTTTCTTATTTTAAATGTAAATTGTCTTGTTCCATTGGCAAAGTGTCTCACTTAAGTCATCAATTCAAGAAAAAATGCGCTCATTTTAAGAAAAAATTATTTATTTAGATCTACTTTTTTTGCAGTATGCAAGTCCCAATTTGGAGCAAAATGTGCTGAAAAATATAGAACTAAACCAACGGCTAGATTGTGTCTACAATAAAGGTATCCTAAGCTTGCAAGTTAAAGAATTGTTGTTGTTTTTTTAAACACATGAATGTAAATGGATAATGGCTTCAGATAAATAAACACACCTCTTATTGATTCTTTAATTGATATTGTCTGTTTCCCTAAGAAGTCACATGGCCCATATTTGATGAGTTATAAAAGCCTACACATCAATTTAGGCTACTGCTGTTTTTTCAACGGAATATTTGAATTAAACCTTTACAACTTTATTTTTATTATTTAAACGTTTTCAATGCCGCTGTATAGGCCTAGTTAGCTTAGTAAATAAACAGAATTTAAAGCGGTATAACATAACAAATATCGTGAAAACATTTTCTCTTACTTGAGTTTCAAAATGCTAAAAACTAGACTATGATTAATCATCTATGTGACCTGGAGGGATTTACAGAAAGAAAGCCACAAAAAAAAAAAAAAAAAAAAAGAATTGCAAACAAGTAGTGCAACATAAATAATGTTATTGAAGTGAAAATGAAAGCCGCTCTGACGTCCATTCCTAAGAATCCAAGTGAGGACAGGATGTGCGCCTCCTGGTCAATGCGCCTCACATAATGTAGATCAGAGAAGTAAGAATTCAGCAGCAGAGATAATATCTGGATAAAGTTGTTTTAATTTTTCTTAGAGCGTCTTAGTCCGAAAACCAGCCGTAAATGGGTTATATCTATTAATAATTTTAAGTGCGTTATATATCCCTATACTCGAGCTATACCGAAATATAAATGAAAGAATGAACAAGAGGTGTGTTAAATTATTCGAAGCAATGCTCTATTCTATGTCCTTTTGTTAAGTCTGAAAGCTGAGTCTGTCCTTTAATCTAAGTGTATTAGTCTTCTATATTATAGGTAATTGTTTTACATATGGTATCACTGCGAGATGGAAGGCATAACCTGTTGTTTATTTCTATTTTTTTAAATTATTGTTTATTCTAACTTAAATATCAAATTGACTAAAACAACAGTCTTGGTGCAACTGTAACATGGGGAATCCTAATTGGTTGTGTCGTCAGAGGCGCTTTCCGTTTCTCTCCCTGATTGGCTGCTATTATAAACATGCTGCAATCAGTTACTAATCATTTACAGTGAGGCAGTGATGCAATATACGAAAAGCTGGAAAACACCCAAACGTGTTGTCCTTCATTCATAATTTCACATTTTGTATTACAATTCATGTTTATTTATTCAGCAGATATTTTGAAAATTTGCGCAATAATGAGTTTTTGTCATTGTTTCAAGTTGGATTATTGTAATAATACACGAATACCACATGGTATACTCTCTATATGGGCAATCTGCCTCAATAAAATTTCGTGTCATTATTTAACAATGAAAATTAAACGTTTTTAAATTCTCCAATAAAACCACCTTTCCATTTAGTTCCTTGCAACGTGCATTTCGAACCATATGTATTTCCTTCCAATAATTTGCGCGTCTTTTTATACTTAGCAGGCCTACCCCAGACACTAACCAAAAATTACAAAAAGAAGAGCAATTAGGAAAAAACAAGGATCGTTTCAGAAATTTTTCGTTACATTGATTAAGACGGCAAAGCCTAAAAAATGACCGTAATCCACACACTGCAAATACAGTCTAGATATAAGTAAACATGTCTGTATTTAACCTTAAATTAACCAGATAAATAAGAAGATTTGCCAATTGAATTAATATTTTCTCTTAAAATGAGATACTTTGGAATAAGACAACGCGTTTGTTTTTTCTTATTTTATATGTAAATTGCCTTATTCCATTGACAAAGTGTAGCCTATCACTTAACTGCTTAATTCAAGAAAAAATGCTCTTTTTTTAAAGAAAAATAAACTTACTTAGATTTTAATTATTTCCATTTCATTCACACGCCTTTCTGTTTAATCTCTTATTTAATTATAGTATTTAAAGAACAAAATTTAATTTCGTATTGGAATAGATATTAAGCCTATTCCTTTTATAAACATTGACAGCAGCCTGAGAAACATCTCCATCTGATTCCACGATTTCTTTTGTCTTCGCTGCTGCTTTTATTTTTATAGCGATAAAAATCTTTATTATACTGTAAGACATTATTTTAGCGTTAATATTTCTCTCCTTCAAACAGATTTACAGCATCTCACCTCCTGCTTCGTTTTCTGCTTCTCTCCGAAAGCCGCTCTGTGATTTTTCAAGGCGTGGACTTCGGAAAGTGGAATCCGCGCTCTGATA